TTATAACAAAAATTGTTGCAAATTTTATTCTTAACAATATTGCTCTCTTGCACTTTTGTTCTTAGATACGTCAATATCGAGATAAATATGAAAATTGTATGAATTTGTTGCTCTTTCAAGTTATTAAAGGTAATAACTGAGAATCGGAGCTTGCTATAAGAAAACTTTTATAACAAAAATTATTGCAAATTTTATTGTTAACAACATTGCTCTCTTTCACTTTTGCTCTTAGATACGTCAATATCGAGATAAATATGAAAATTGTATGAATTTGTTGCTCTTTTAAGTTATTAAAGGTAACACTTGAGAATTGGAGCTTGCTATAAGAAAACTTTTATAACAAAAATTGTTGCAAATTTTATTCTTAACAATATTGCTCTCTTGCACTTTTGCTCTTAGATACGTCAATATCGAGATAAATATGAAAATTGTATGAATTTGTTGCTCTTTTAAGTTATTAAAGGTAACACTTGAGAATTGGAGCTTGCTATAAGAAAACTTTTATAACAAAAATTGTTGCAAATTTTATTGTTAACAATATTGCTCTCTAACAATTTTGCTCTTAGATACGTCAATATCGAGATAAATATGAAAATTTTATGAATTTGTTGCTCTTTCAAGTTATTAAAGGTAACACTTAAGAATCGGAGCTTGCTATAAGAAAATTGTTATAACAAAAATTGTTGCAAATTTTATTATGAACAATATTGCTCTCTTACACTTTTGCTCTTAGATACATCAATATCGAGATATATACGAAAATATAAAAATTTTTTGAATTTGTTGCTCTTTCAAGTTATTAAAGATAACACTTGAGAATCAATATCGATTGATCAATATCTATTTTGACAATATTATATTTTGAACTGTTTTCAAATTGGGCACTTATGACGCGTACTGTATATATCAACGATCTGGCAACGTTGCTCGAGTGATGTTGCCATATCGTTGGTATATACTTTTATGCAATATAAGTAAAATAATAATATAACTCGCAATTGTATTGATTTTAAGTACGATGTGTTTCATAATACTTTGTTAAAATTTTTAAATTCGGTAAATTAATCGGTAGACTATCTTCTATATCGGTAGGGTTGGCAACGCTGGCACCAAAACTTCCCAAAATTTTTTTTATTAATCCTAATTTATTCAATAAATTTATTTTAATTTTTATCTCTTTTAAAGCGATAAACCACAAAAAAAAATTAAAATAAGATTATTTTTATAAAAATAAAGATAAAAGATGAATCACCCATAACCTCCCACCAGGTGGGGTATGTGTCAAAATAGTTGTCAAATCTACTATACAAAACCTCCAATAAAGCTTATAAATTAGCGGATTGCGCGTTTATTTCGAACAAATTGTTAGTATAGCGTTTAGTGTAGCGCGAAACTCTTTCCCGTTAGAATTTCCCCGCGAAAAACGGCTTTTCGCTTCGATATCATCATTAATTTTCAAAATGGCCGCCACGAGACGATTGCAAAAGGTGAGTTTTCTGCGTGATAATAACCGTTTATTTCACTCCGAACCGTTTCTGATTGAAAAAGAAGGTTTTCTGCATCGGGGGGTGAAAAAATCGCGTTTAAATCGCGCTTAGTTTGGTTGGGATCGACAAAAATTACATCGCGAAAAGCGATTGTCATCGTTTATTATTTTTTTTTATGATTAAAACGAGGTTTTTTCGTGGTGACACGTTTTAATTAAGATATTTCGAGTTAAATTGTTGATTAAGAACGTTTTGTTTTGGTGTAATTAAGTTTGGAGGAAAATTTTTTGAGGTTATGTCAACTAATTTTTTATTATTTTAGGAGTTGGGCGATATTCGGAACTCTGGTTTGAAATCGTTCAGGGATATTCAAGTCGACGAGAGCAATATACTTACTTGGCAAGGACTTATTGTACCAGTAAGTGTTGATTAATTGAGGTAATTTGGGTTAAATGGTTTGATTTTAGGATAACGCACCGTATAATAAAGGAGCATTTAAAATCGAAATCAATTTTCCTGCTGAATATCCTTTTAAGCCACCTAAAATTAGTTTTAAAACGAAAATTTATCACCCAAATATCGATGAGAAGGGGCAAGTTTGTTTGCCAATAATCAGTGCGGAAAATTGGAAACCTGCTACAAAAACCGAACAAGGTTAATCCCTAATTAATTGGAGTTAATCCCCACTTAATTAATTATTTTATTTATTTTAATAGTGGTTCAAGCTTTAGTAGCTTTAGTGAATGAACCGGAACCTGAACACCCACTCAGAGCGGATTTAGCAGAAGAATATTTGAAAGACAAAAAGAAATTTTCAAAGAACGCCGAAGAATATACAAAGAAACACGGTGAGAGAAGACCGGCGGATTAAAATCGGGTTTCTTTCCGGGGAGTTACAGTTAAAAAAAAAATAATAAACACCGCAATCCACTGCTGCTAGCGAATAAAAAAAAACTTACAATATTAGTCTCTTTTTTTAATTTGAACGCTAAACAGTTTGGGGAAGAAAATTTTTTGTGCCTTTCTACTTAAAACAAAAAAAAAATGTAATTTTTAAACGTTATTATTTAATCTTTATTGATCTTTAATGATGGGTTCATTTGTTATTGTGAAAAAAGGAGAAAACTTTGTGATAACACGAATAAAGCTGCAGTCGAGTGGGGAAAAATGTTGTAAATCCTATAAATAATTTTTTTAGAATTGTAAGGTAAATAAATATCAATTAAATACACGTTATTGTACACTTTCTTTTTTTAAAAATCGACGATTTTGCAACTATTTTAGTAATTTTAACAAAAAATTAAATCTTATTTTGATTTAACCTCAAAAGTTGACATTTTTTAAACGTCAATAGATGACTAACAACGTTTATTTTTTTTAAATTTATTTTAATTATAATAATTTATTAATAACAATTTAACTTAATCAATAATTATAAAACAATTATAGTAATTTTAATAAAAAAAATTAAATTTATTTTAATTTAACAGGTAACAGTTGAGTTCTTTTTAACGCCAATAGATGGCGCTAACAACATTCATTTTATCATTTAATTTTTACTTTCTTTAATTATTAATAACAATTAAGTTTAATCAATAATTATAAATTAACAATAGTAATTTTAAGAAAAAAGTTAAATTTGTTTTGATTTAAACCAAAAAGTAAATATTTTTTTGAAACGTCAATAAATTTTTGCTTTCTTTTTCAAAACTTAATCTAATTTGAACTATTTAATAATAACAATTGCGTTTAATCAATAATTATAAAACAATTATAGTAATTTCAATAAAAAAAAATAATTTATTTTAATTTAACACATAAAAGTTGAGTTTTTTGAAACGTCAATAGATGGCGCTAACAATATTCATTTAATTTTTACTTTCTTTTCTAAAACTTTCTAATATTAATGATAATGAAGTTGATAATAAATATTAATGAAGTTTAATTAATAATTATAAAACAATTAAGTATAATTATTTCAAGAAAAGAATTAAATCTGTTTCGATGTAACCCCTAAAAGTTGAAATTTTTTTGAAACGTCAATAGATGGCGCTAATAACGTTTATTTTTTTAAAACTTATTTTAATTATAATAATTTATTAACAACAATTTAGTTTAATCAATAGTTATAAAACAATTATAGTAATTTTAAGAAAAAAGTTAAATTTATTTTGATTTAAACCTAAAAGTAAATATTTTTTTTGAAACGTCACTAGATTTTTGCTTTGTTTTTCAAAACTTAATCTAATTTTAACAATTTAATAATAACAATTGCGTTCAAGCAATAATTATAAAACAATTATAGTGATTTTAATAAAGAAATTAAATTTATTTTAATTTAACACCTAAAAATTTAGAAACGTCAATAGATGGCGCTAACATCATTCATTTAATTTTTTCTTTCTTTTCTAAAACTTTCTTTAATTATAATCAATTATTAATAACAATTAAGTTTAATCAACAATTATAAAACAATGAATTATAATTATTTTAAGAAAAAGCTTAAATTTATTTTGATTTATCCTCTAAAAGAAGAAATTTTTTGAAGCGTCAATAGATGGGG